ACCTGGCCGTGGAGCGCCTGCTGCGCTCAGCACTGCGTCTGCGCAGGCGGCCGTGCCCCTGCCTCCGGGAGAGACATTTTAGTCACAGACAGTGAGGGGATGAGTGGAAGCTCCAGGCCGCTTACTTCCGCGGGAGGGGCGCCCGCCCGGCCCGTGCACGTGACCTGCTTGCTGACTTGGCTGCGGTCCATCTGCCCACTGGACTTTCGGCTCCAGAAGGTGGGGCGTCTGTTTGTTCTGTTCACCGCCGCGTCCCCAGCGCCTGGAACCGAGTCTGGCCCATGACAGGTGCTCAGTGGATACCAGCGCACAGCTGGAGGTCTAGAGATAAGGGCTTGCCCTTGGGGCTCCGTAGATATGGTAGGAGTTCGGTCGTTGTCTGAAAGCAGAGGCTGTGCAGGTGCGAGTGCAGAGGGCGGAGGCGGCCATGTGACCACGGAGGCGGACATTGGAGTGATGCGGCCACAAGCTAAGGGCCGCGTGGAGCCACCAGGAGTGGAGGGACAGGGAACAGCATCTGCAGCCTCCGCGGGCACACCCGGGCGATGTCCGGCCCCCAGAGCTGTGGGGATGAGTGTGTTGTCCAAGCTGCCCGGTGTGTGGTCATTTGTTACGGCAGAACCAGGAAGTAGTGCAGGCTTCCACCTGGTGGGTGTGGCTGCGTAGATACTGGCTGAGGGAGCGGCTGAGGGGGCTGGGGGTGTGCACCTGAGTGTGGGGACCCGCGTGTCCCGTGTAGGAGCCCTTCGCTGTGCCCGTGTCTGCGCCTTCAGCACCCACCTCCACTCTGACCCCTCTGTGCCTCTGGGCAAGGTGGTGGCTGGGAGGGGCATCTCCCCAGGAAGCGGAGAGCTGCCCGCTGGTCCCAGAGGTGCAGGGAGCAGAGGGGCCGGGAGGACCCGCAGGGAGAGACCACCCCCTCCGTCCGGTGAGACCCTCTGCAGCCAGAGGGGACATCCTGTCCCCGAGTCCCTTTGTTTCGTCTCAGTCCTTCCTGCAACACGGGAGCCGCTTCCTCTGGGCC